CCATTCTCTGCTTTTTTATCACTTTTAATTTTATACTCTCAAACTCTAAAAGAAACACAGAGAAATATAATTTTCCAATTATCTAATCACACGTACGAACTTGGTGAAGACAAAAATTGTAAGGTTTGGGTTGTGGAAGACTTATAAATGATAGGAAGAAGGGAGGAAGAAGTAGAGGTGAGGACAAATGCCGACGGACGAGTAATGACGGCGCCTGCCGGCTAGGAGCTAAGATAGAGACTTTAGGTCACCAAAAGCGGTGGCTCTAATACCATGTTGAATAATGGAGCAATAGATTTTCTTAATAATAATAAAGGATATAAGAGAGTATATACATGAAGCCTTCCTTGTTATTCTGTGTGCCCATGCTTTAGATGGGGTGAATAAGGCGTTTAATAACTTTTTCAGAGTTTAATAAAATAGATGTTGGCAAATCTGGAAGTAATGTAAAAACGTAGAAAACTAAAAGCGTAAAATAAATGACATGCCAATTTATACTGGTTCATGAAATCTTTACTCTAGTACCTAAAGACTCCTTCTTGGTGATTTCGGAATTTATTATATCTTGGTCTCTTAAACTTCGTCAAAGCACCACACTAAGGGGCTGTTTGGCAACTTATGAATGGGTAAGTGCTGAATCAGTAAGAGGTCTGAATCATTAAGTGCTGAACCAGTAAGAGGTCTGAACCATTAAGAGCTAGTCTATTGCTTAACTATTCAGAGGCAAATGTCTGATCAATTCAGATAAGAGATATTTACCATTCAGACTCTGTATAATACTTAACCATTCAGAGGCAAATCTCTTAACCATTCAGACTTCTGAACCATTAAGAGGCTGAAACAAACAGTCTGAACCATTAAGTGCTGAACCATTCAGACATCTGAACCATTAAGAGATTTCACAATGATTATCTTGAACCGATTACAACAAAGATTTCACAATGATTATCTCGAACCGATTACGACAAAGATTTGAAGGCTATCTTCAACCTTTTACCCCAAAGATCTGAAGGTTATCCTTGAACCTTTTACCATACCTAAGGATTTCACGACTATCCTTAACTGTCCATACAAAGATTTATACGACTATGCTCGACCATTAAAATGAGTGGAAGATGTGTCTAAAAATAATGAAAAATCATAAACACGTTTTGGCCTATGACAGAGAAAAAGATCAATCTTTGGCTGGTGAGGAAAAAAGATTATACTCTCTAAAATAATACAAGATCAATCCTATTAATATGAGAGTATAAATGTATAATCACAAGTGCAATGTGTGTGTATAAAATCAAGAGAAAAGCAAGACTTTAAGAAACAAAAATATGAAAATTGAAGAACAAAATGATGGACACACTTTGAATATAAAGATGGGAGATTAGAGCTTAATTCTTGTAAAAATAAGGAATATAGCCATATTTATTATAAAAAATGATAAGTGTCTGCTTATGACCATTGCGGATTAATTAAGAGTAGTAATGGTTGATTAAATTTGATTAAATTCAAAAGCGGGATTTTGAAAGTCTTCCAACTGCAACAGGGTACCAGCCTAAGAGTACGTGGGTACCGGAGTAACAATAGGTTGGTACCGTCTACACGATAGTGAGTACTGTCTCAGACAAAAATTTTATGGCGGTCTGAGGGACCATTTAGGCAGTACTGAGGTATCGGATAAGGTAGTGCTTCACTGCGCTGCTTTTCCTTTTTGGGCTAAATCCTTTTTTGTTGAGATTAAAAAAATTTGGATGTTTGAAAATGATTATAAGAATGTTTTAAACAAATTTTGTGAGTGCATTTGATCTTGTGAGTATAAGCATATAAAATCATATTCTTATATTTAATTTTACCTATATTTTATGTTAGTTTGGTGTTTCAACATCATTCATGAGAACCTTAAATAATAGGTTCTTGTTGTTCCTGAAATACTTAAACAAAAGTTAACTAAAATATTATTTGTTAACATTAAAATACGATATTTACCAAATCAAAGCTAACATTCCTAACACAAATAGGAATCCAGTCAATATTAGAAGTTGACTAATAAAGAAACACTATCATGCATTCTTATTATTAGCATTGTTATTATTATTATTAGTATTATTATTGCCAAAAAATCATTACAATGATGGCAATAATGATAATAATAATAATAATAATAATAATCATTATCATTATCATCATCATCATAATATTAATGCTAATAATAATACAATAATAATAAAAATAAATATTTATGTGCTGTAAAATGGTCAAGAAGTAAGATTATAAGAAAACCATCCACCAAAGCCTCATTCATTGATCTATAAATAGGTAAACTTAATAACTATGTAAAAAAAAATAGTTTTTGGTTTCTCTCTAGGTTTACCGCATTCCTTTTCCTCTCCAAAAAGGAGAGAAAAGGGAAAGAGCCTTAAAGACAAAGGGATCAGAATAATATTCTTGTGGATCCATCTTCGCAAATGAACGGTGTCACCATGTCATATGGTACTAAAGACATGTATGTGGTTCGATCGAATCTCAACTACGCGCCGTCGCTATGGAACAATGCCGGCCAGAAGAGGAAGGCCGCCTCAGAGAAGGAAAAATCTATGGCCTGGTATTCGAAACGAGAGATGAAAAGAAAGAAGAGAATTGCAAAATATAAAATATATTCCATGGAAGGCAAAATGAAGAATTCTTTCAAGAAAGGGTATCGTTGGCTAAAACATGCATGCATGAGATTTGTCCATGGCTTTTGAAAAATTATATTGATGAGACATATAATAAGAAGAATTAATGTGGATTATAGTAATATGCATGCCTAGTTTCTTATCACCAAATAACTTTATTTGTCTTTTTGGTTTCTGCATTATTATGCCAATTTATTGTCATTTTAATGATGTCAATCTCAAGATTGCTTAGATTAGGTTATTGATTCTGTTTTTATATTAATTAACTCATTCTCTTTTTTAATCTCCAATAATTAGTTCTCTATTCATTTAAATATAATATATGGAGAATATATAGATGTTCCATATAATTTCAAGTAGGACATATTCAGATTCAAGGTGAGAGAGGGTGGGAAGAGTCTCAAAATCTCGATTGTGAGTGATCCCTCATAATAAATTTCAAGAAATGATATTCACTTCGTCCTAGAGTGTTTTATTGGATGTTTATTTTGGAGGAATGGTAATGCAGCGAAGCAGCGTTGTAAAGATGATATATGAACGTGAAGAACTAACTTTAATTGATTAAACGAATTACTTGAGAATACACTTTTAGATTAAAGTTATTTCGAGCTATACCTAATTAAAATACTTCAATCAGATAATACGTTACTTCAAGAACGAATACCAAAAACTATCTCTCAAACATGCTCAACTTTCTTTATTTATAAAGAACAAAATATTGATCAAACACGTACATATCTTGGCAAAGAGATACAATTTATGGCAATAGTGTGCGATAGTTTTCCACTTCAAATTCGAATTGAATTACTTCCTCTGTCCTAAAATGTTCTTCCCGTTTCTGTTTATGAAGTTTGACCGACTTTATTTTCAATTCAATTTATTTGATTATAGGTGTAATATTAAAAAATAAAATTTACATATTTAAACTATATTAAAAGTTCTACAAAACAAGAGGTAACAAGACTATATTATTTTATCAAATAACTAACAAAAGTAGGTAAAGAAAGTGATTAAAATTTGACCGTGTAAATAGTAACTAGAAAGAATGTTTTAGAACGAAGGGAGTATCTTTTAATAATAGATGCCCCTTTCACAGAGGTCCATGCAGTTATAGGCAAAGAAAGTGATTAAGCTAAAACGCTTAATGTCTGAAATTGGCCTATAACCGCATGGACCTCATGGAATATATTTTATATTTTGCAATTCTCTTCTTTCTTTTCATCTCTCGTTTTGAATACCAAGCCATAGATTTTTCCTTCTCTGAGGCGGCCTTCCTCTTCTGGTCTATTCAAATTCCTTTCTCATCTAAGTAAATCTAATTACAAAAAAAACTGATAATACTAAAATCACCAACATGTTTGTCTAATTTTAACATTTGTCGAGTTAGCCAGGATCAACTTTTGATCTATAGTTATAAAAAATACACTCTCCTAGCTTCGTATTAAAAATAATACCTTATGGCACACCGCGACTAATACCCTCTAATCCCTACCTTAGACAGTCTCAAAATCAGGAGGGTGGAGATGCTGTCTCACTACCCCCACTGCAATGTTGCCACCAAAACAATCTACCACCTCTTCATCCGATCTTGTGTCATTTTGCCCCGACATTATGGTCCTCTTTGCCTTTCACATGATCTGGTTCAACCCAATTACAATTCCATTCCCGGAATGGCTCCCACATATCTTGTCTCTCTTCAAAGTGTAAGACACCCCCCTTATCTTCATCATTATGGAGACCATTTGGAAATCCCAAAATGATGTAGTTTGGCGCCACATGTTATCTCCAAGCAACCCAGTTTGGCACACAACATGGCACTCATTTTCATACTGGCACAAAGCGAATGTCACACCTAACCATTCTTCCCTCGAGCCCCGCACGTGGATTCCGCCACCAAACATTTTTCTAAAGATCAAAATTGATGCATTCCTTGGTCTCTATAAGAATTTCACCGAAATCGTCTACTTGTCATAGACCGCACTAGATCATTCCTTGCAGTAAGAAACCTCACCCTTCCATATCCCGAAGGTAGCTAAAGCCCTAATGATCATGGAAGTCTTTAATTGGTTGAAGGACCACCCTTGGCGTAGCATCATCATCGAGTCTGACTCCAATGATATCGTTGAAGCTCTCTAACAAACTCAAGTGGGTCTTGGTATGACTCCCCCCACACCGCCTTTTGTACTCCCTCAACTTTAAATTTGGACGTGGGAGTAGAAAGAAAAATTTACTCCATAGATTGGTCAAAGAATAGATGATAGCCTATGAAATTTATACACATGGTCCGCCGCCTATGCCCTATGGTCACACGACACAAGCGGACGTTGACCCCGTCGTATCTTCTTCGCTGCCACACCACTCCTCTCTCTCTCTCAAGATTTGAATTTCGAAATCTCTCCCAAAAGATATCTCTCTAATCCTCCGCATCTGCCTACATTGACGATTCATACTTCAAAACCCTAACCACTCCTTCAGATCTTAGCTTCTCTTCCCTCTTTACTGCTGTCGACAATGGAGGAGACGAAAGATTCCAATCGTTGAGGATCAGGCCTCTCTGGTAATTAAATTTCCGATTCATTGCGACGCCATTTAAAGACTGTTATTGTGTTTCCCTGTTTTTGCGATTTGGTCTTTTCTGTCGATACGAAGTCTGGGTATCGTGTTTCCGCTTGTATAAGAGTTGTTCTTGACTCAAAGTTACGAGCTTTGCATTGTGTGAACCCATTTTTTAACCCATTTGTGTCTGCAGCACATTCTTCTGGTGATAATTCTATTGGGGTGTTCTTTTAACTCAATTTTTCCTTTTTGGGATTTGGTTAATTTAAGGAAAATAATTTCATTATTTCCCTCTGGGATTTGAAGTACTCGGCTTTTTCATCTTCTTTCCAATATTTTCTTCGCAGCTTCAGGTTATGCTCCTCCTGGAATGGATTTTTACTGGGATTTTAGATTTTCAGAAGAAGAAAAAGGAAGCATTTTTTATTGATATAGTGATGCTGTCTCTGATCTTCTTGTAACTGGATGTTAATGCTGTTTGGGTGATACAATTGAGTAGGCTTGTGTTTACTTTCACCGTGTGGGTGTGTTTGAGGAACTGAATGAACAAATGGAGGTTGAAAAGCGAAGTTCGAAAGCAGGCTTTCTGCATTTATTTGATTGGAATATTAAATCCCGAAAGAAGCTTTTCTCTAGCAAGTCTGAAGCACCTGGCAAGTCCTTTCCTTCATCTTGCAATATTTAATAGTCTAATTTGCACACTCCATTTCGTGTTTGATGCATAGATCCAAAAATGATGTTCTTCCTGTGGTGTTTTGGCTACAGAAAGTTCCAAGCAAGTAAAAGATAATTTCAACCAGCAAGCTCACTCCAAATTTCAGAAGGTACATAACTTATTGGACATATATGGTTTGTTCATCTTGGTTGTTCTTTATGAGTTTATCAATATTGTTTGTGTGTTTGAAGGTGAATGATTATAGATTTGACTTAGATGCCAAACAAAACTATGATTGTCACTCTACTTCGTCAGTCAGCGGTGATGAAGCTTATGGGCAGCGACCGCCTGGGGTTGTGGCGCGCCTTATGGGACTGGATTCCATGCCAACATCACAAGGTTCTGAATACTATCAAGCCGCACCATCCCCATATTCCCACTCTTATAGAGATTCTCATTACCCCAGAGCTCCTGACGGCTTCAAAAAAGAACACCGCATTGTTGTTTATGAAGACATTCGGAATAAATTAGATGGATTTACTATGAATCCAGTTGAAATGAGGCTATTGAAGTTGCAAAACCTCCCAATAGAGAGGTTTCGAAGTGAAACATTGCCTCCAAAATCAGCAAAGCCCATTTCTGTTACCCAACATAGGATGTTATCTCCTATCAAGAGTCGTGGGTTTATCCCCCCTAAGAATGCAGAGTACATAATTGAGGCTTCTTCCAGAATAATCCATCAAAGTCCTAGATCAACAATAAAAAACAAGATGCAAAAATGTGGCTCATCCTCAGTTCCTTTGAGAATCCGAGACCTAAGAGAAAAAATGGATGCTAGTCAGAAACCATTGAGGGTAGGTGAAGTTTCTCAAAGAATTAGATACCACAATTCTGTTAGAGATGTGAGGAGACAACCTACTGAAAGGGATGAAGATCTACAAGAAGGGACACCTCCAGTCTGGGTTTCTGAGGCATCAAAACGAGGTGTTTCTCGCGGCAAGGGTAAGGAGAGATCAGTTTCACTTGCAGTTCAGGCAAAGAACAATATTCAGAAGAGGGAAGAATTGGCTCCAATTGCTAATAATAGGACTACTGTTATTCCAAAGGAATGCAATGAGGGAAAGTCTGGTAGGAAGAGATCAAATGCAGAAAGGAGTGTGGAAAAACGTAAAGTCAGCAAGCCTTCCAATGTGCTGAGGCAGAATAATCAGAAGCAGAATAGTTCATCGAATAAAGATGAGGAAAGCCCAAAACCTTCTATCTCTTACCCAAAAGATAGGAAATTTTCTTCCTCGAATGACTCGTCCAGGCCCACCAAGACTGTAAAAAATATTGTTGTAAATAACAGAAATAGTTCTGGAGCTGCAAGATTTATGGCAACTGATATGGGAAAGGAACTTTCATCCTCTAGAAGGAAGATGCATTCCAGGAAGGAAGTGCCTGTCAATGAGGATATTCGTTCTTATGGCACTGTTTCCAACAGCATACTCAATAGCAAAGATGAAAAGTCTGTGAAATGCAATGTCACAATTGAAGGATGTACTGAATGGGATGGAGTTGAGAAGAGAAATGGTACTGATGTCATTTCGTTTACATTCACATCTCCCTTTAAGAAACTTGTGTCAGAATCAACATCATTAACCCAAATCACGGAAAATAAATTTTTCTCTCTCATTTCTGATTCTTGCAACGTTGAGACATTGCCAAAATCATCCATATCACGGCCTCTAGGTTTGAACATTTTTGGTGGGGATGCTTTGGGCATTCTATTAGATGAAAAGCTCAAGGAGTTGACTTCTATAGTTGAGTCGTCTGGTCAAGACCTGAACGAAATGGGATCTATTTCTAGTTCTGCGAACACCTCAGCCAGTTCTGATCTTCAAAACATCATTCCTGCAGAACAAAGCAGGTTTAAATTCAACCCAACAAAAGAGAAAACAGATGTCCAATGTGACTTTGTATCTCCTCTTGTTGCACTTCAACCAAATACAGAGAAGTGGCAGGTACTATTAGAAGTTCATCCAAATATATGATATTATCCATATCGATCATTGTTTGTCATGGTTCATCAAAATATACCCTGTAGTAGCTATATTATTAATTACTAGAAAAGCTAGCAAGCAGTTATTTGATTGTCTTAAAAACTGTTACAAATGGAAGAATCACTACACACATTTATTGGTTCTGTTGTCTTAGTATTTTTCTCAAATGAGTTGATGGATTCGTGTTTTTTGTGCATTCTTGTCCAAAGCCATCTGCTGACCTTCACTCTCGCCCCCACCCAATGTGACTACCGTGTATGTTTAACTAATTGCATGATAAATTCTTTCTCTTCAGTAATTATTTTTTTTTTTTTTTGAGTACTTTGCTGCAACATGGTTTCTGTATATGTTGGTTCTCCATCGCTATGATTAAAACCCACTGCATCGTACTTTTATGTATTCTCACAACTCATAATGAAGTCTTGATTTTTTTTCATTCTTGTACAGCTATCAAAAGATATAGAGGAGGATCTCAATGGAATCTATATTGGACACGACAGAGAATTTAATTCTCAGTATCCTAGCCCAACCTCAAGTCTAGAGTCTTCTTTCTCAGTAGACAGCAACAGTTTGTCAGACAATATTGAAAGCTTTAATGGAAATGGTAAGTTGCCCATCTCTTTTCTGCATGTGATTCATTACTGGCTTTATATATCTGTTCCTTCCACTGGATTACAACAAAATTAGGGAACATCATTTTGGTCCTTTCTCCTTGGACCTTGTCCAAACAAAAATGTTTACAAGTTTTGCAGGTAGAAATCTTTAATATGGAGTATTTTATTTGCAAGAAATATGAACTTGTGTCTATATGCCTAATGTTTGTCTGGTGGAAAATTTCCATTGGAAAAAAAACAAAAAAAAAAGAAAGGACAAGTCCAAGACCATTGTTTATAATTGTGAGAGGCAAGTTCGTCTTCCAGTTTGTATTTTTTTACGCTTGCAAAAAACAGAGAGGTCGCTTTTGTTAGCCCATTGATGCATTGCTTAACTCATTCCCCCAAAACTTCATAGAAAGTAAGAAGAGAGGGAAGTTTAATGTGCCTTTTTTATTTAGTTTATTATTTACCAAAAGATGAAACATTGTCATAAACAACTCTCTTAACCTGACTGTCAATGGATGTTTGAATGTTACCCATAAAAAAATTTCATAAGGCCCTGTTTCATTGAAAAATATTATCCAAAAAGAGTATTTTCTTGATTTTGTGCATGTAGAGGCAGGCAGAAAACATTTTCCTGAAAGATGATTTTTTATTCTGTGTTCTTGTGAAAGAAAGACTTCGTCTTTGTTTCTTCATTTGCAGTTAACAAGGAGTATTATGCAACATACTCTGTACAAAACAGCTTAACTTACAGGAAAATATTTTCTACATTTTTTGCAATCATATGGAGCCTAAGTTAGGTTTCATTTCATGACCTATGCTCTGATCATTTAAAAAATTTATTTTAGCACCCTTTGTGGCTTGGCTTTCGTATGTGTTATTGTGTGAAGATTAAAATATGCTTTGTTTGGATATGAGTATTTCATTTTTGTGACAGACATGTTCTTGTTTTTGGTTCTTTAACTTTGAAATTATCCACATGATTTTACTCTTCTTAATTTGGACGTTGTTCTTCTTTGTCCCAAAGATTGTTGCACATAGGGAATTGAAGTGTTAAAAATCTTTACTAAATACTACTCCGTCCGTCCCAAAAAGAATGTGACGGTTTGACTTTTTGGGAAATTAGGGGAGAGATATTTTAGTATTGACTTTCCAAAAATACCCTTGATGTGATGTGTAAAAGTAGGATGTGATGGGTAGATTATTAGAAAAAAGGTATGATGTGATAGGTAGGGTATGAAAAAGTAAAGGGTAAAAGTAGTTTTTTAATAGAAATGTAACAGACTTTACGGGACGCAGTTTTTTCTAAACGTAACAAACTTTTTGGGACGGAGGGAGTATTTTTTTTAAGTATGAACCACTATCTTAAAGTCTGAAATTACACTCTGTTTTTCTGTGTTTCCCAAAGAATGAATGCGATTTCCAAATACATGGTTTAGGATTCTTATATTAAAATAAAAACTACCATTTACATTCTTCAAGTTCAAGAAATTGGTGCGTTTTTTCGTTTGATGATCATTCAACCAATTACTACATCATGAATTGAAGCTTACTTTTGTCCTACACCCATTGATGTGGGTTAGTCCACCCCGCTGGTTTAGATTACGTTCGGTTATTGAAGATGAATAATGTGGTTTCAGGAACCAAGAATCATTTTGCTGGCTCACACGAAGTGAGGGGTAGGAACTCTTCAACAACACTCACCGTAGAAGAAGAAGAAGCAGAATTATTAGACTCTGCCTCTTCAGTGTCCATATGTAGCAGAAACAGGCAGCCAAGAATTGCATTCATTTGCGCTGACATCAAAGGTTCAACCTACTGGGAACTGGAATACATCCGTGACATCATCAGAAATGCAGATCTGACGACAAAGATTGAATCTTTTTCAACCAAAGCCATACCCGCGGATCTTTTCGACGCGTTAGAGTCGCAGCAGAAATACAGATTCAACAAAAGCGCGCGAGAGTCAAAGCCCAAGCGAAGGGTACTGTTTGACTGCGTGGTGGAGTGTCTGGAGCTCAAGAACAAGGAGTCGTTTGGCGGGAGTTTCCAGAACTGGGCGAGATGGAACATGCTGGTGGAGAGGAAGGAGTGGCTTGCAGAGGAGGTGTACAGAGAGGTGTCGTGCTGGACAGAAATGGAGGATTTGATGGTGGACGAGGTTGTGGAGAGGGACATGAGCACGCGACATGGGAAGTGGACCGAGTTTGGGAGGGAGGAACTGGAAGAAGGTATTGAGGTTGAGGAGGGCATTCTAACATCTTTGGTTGAAGAATTGATGTTTGATATTTGGCTTTCTTGATGATGCATTTAGGTCCTTTCTTGATTGATGGAAATGACATAATTTTTATAAATAAGCTTTTGGTTAACAAGTCTTTTTTTGTTCTTCTGTATAACTGAGCCTCCTTTTTCAGAAGGGAAGTTCATAGCATTAGGGGGGGATGGATCATCATGAATTTGTTTATAAAGTTTTCATTTTTAACCTTCAGATTGTATCTGGTTATTAATTGTGATTTGTGATTAAAGAAGATCAATTTAGTGGATAAAATCTCGTGTTCTGATGCGGGGCTTTTATTATTGTTTGCTCCCTTCGCCCAAAACAATCTTTTTCTTCTTTTTTTATTTATTCCCAAACAATTATGTATTCTTAGGAAATTTTAGGATGACGATTTACCCAGTATGAGTAACTTTTAATTCTATGGAGTGTAACAAACCAATAATCTAATCGAAAAATTATTGGATGAAATGTTGTAAGAATAACCCTTGGATTTAATTTCCACATTTTCATTTTTTGAGATGTCTTAAAAAATGTACATATTTCTTTACTTTCTAAAAAAGAGTAAGAATACATAGATCATGTCTTTATTTTATTATTATTATTATTATTATTATTATTATTATTATTATTATTATTATTAATACTCCGTATTATTTATTGACATTCTTTAGTAAATAAAAATACAAAGATACAAAGCAAAAAAAGAACAAAAAGATACTGTCTTTATTAACATAAATGATATCTGTATTTCTTACTCCTTCCGTCCGGAAATATTCTTCCCATTTTCCTTTTTGGTCCGTCCGGAAATAATCTTCCCATTTCCTTTTTTAGTATGCTTTTTAAGGCTAAATATCAATAATACCCTTCTATTTTATCTCAAATCTACTTTTTTAATATTTTTTTAATAATAAAAGGAGATTTAAAAGTTTATAGTATGTGCATTTTTGAAAATTTTGCATTTTTTTACTATTCCTTAATAAGCGTGCCAAGTCAACACGGGAAGAACATTTCCGGACGGAGGGAGTATATCCCTAAGCTAAACTCATGTCATTATAGGAGACAAATGATCAAAGTGAGGAGCGGCTTTAAAGATACACAGTGCACTGATGCTGGTACTCTCAAGAAGGAGAAATTACGCCAGAGGGAAGGATTTTAGCTTCAAATTCCCAATTGGGAAGAACGGGATATCAAATCCCGATTTTCACTTCTCAATTTTTTTTTTTTAAGTTTTCGGGATTACAAATCCCGATTTTTAAAAGTAAATAATTATGGAATTTTTTCGGGTTTACAAATCCCGTTTTTTAAAAGTAAATAATTATGGAATTTGCATGGGCAATTAAAAAACCGTAAGTGAAGTACATATATATTTTTTTGTTTGCATTTTTAGTGTTTTAGAATCCTGATTATTTTAAATAATACAAATAATTACTAATTTTGCATTGGAGGTGTAGTCTATGTTATGGTCATCTTTTTCGTGGGAATAATCGGGATGTCATGTGTGGAAGTCATCAAATTGTTTTAACTTCCACTTTCCATTCTTTAGCTTTTGAGCCTGAGCACGCCAAAAACATGGCGGATTTTTATTCTTGTACCAACATCGTACCGCCCAATAACACGCCTTTTTGAATTCGGAAGTCCAAAACTTATTTTGTGCGATACAATGCTTTGTAATAGCATCATGGAGGCATTCAAAGTTATCAAATACCATACCAATCTCCAAGGGTACATCTGAAGTGTAATAACGTTCAGCCCGAGCCGCTATTGCCTCCATTTGGGAAATCCATCCCTCTTCTGTTTCGTCAACATCAGAATCACTGTACTCACTTTCATCATCAGTGTTGGGGTTACGTATCAAACGTCGACCAAAAAAAGCAAACCAATCTCGATATCCTGCTGCCAAATCATCTCCAACATTGAGTGGGGAGTTTCGAGGAACCATCTCGTCTAAGATTACATGATTTAGACCATCGTCTCTCCATACACGAACATAATCAGTAAATGCATCAAGGGAACCAGTGCTGGAGGGTCGATGATGATCCGCCTTATACGGAAATGGGAGTTCAGGTATAGTTTGCAATTTCCCAAACTGCCGTGCGAATCTCTTTGGCATGATGGGCTCCACATGTAAACGGTAAATGACTACACCCTCGTATGACCAAAGGGCCTGCCCCACCCTACAGTAAGCAGGAAGATTTTGAATGACATACGGTTCCCAAATTACCTACATTGTAAACACACATTATAATGATGCAAAGATTACACTAAAAAATCTAATACTCAATTAGTGTAAAATATAACATACATGATGATGCAATAAACCATCAAATTGGTCTCGGAAATAACGAACACTCTGTCGGGCTGTGCTAGAGTAAACTTTTGTAGATCTGAACCTACATAGAAACCATTAAAGTAAAATTACCATTGTGAAATGCATTAGAACGTAAACTAAATTATAGTAGATATTAATACCTAGCACCATGAGGTTCGTCAATCGCAGGAGGTCCGTGGCGATAATTAACCTGAATCTTCACCTCAGGTCGGATAGGCAACAATCGTGACCAAGCCCATAACTGAAGTAGAAGTAAGCACCCTCCTGGTCGAGTTCGATCATTCTTCTTTAGTGCTGTTCGGCATAAACTATTGTAAAGCCGTGCCAAAACAGCTGATCCCCAACTATATTTAGAAGTCCGATCAAAATCGTCTAGGAACAATACAAAGTCGGTGGGTGCAAACCTTCCGGATGTGTCTGGAAAGAGAAGACCACCTAAATACCCATATATAACTTGAGCAGTGTACTGATGGACATGAAAATCATTCCACTGGGCATTTGGTTGCAACCTGCAGTTTAACAAAGGAATCTTAAACTGGTCTGGACGTCCAAAATGTGCCTCATTTGGCTCCCAACCTAGAATGGTACGAAAAGCTGCATCTCGTTCTTCGGGAGTCATGGGTGGCGCACCCAGAATAGGAAAACCATCAATTGGCAACCCCATAAGACACTCTACATCTTGTAAAGTTATACCCATTTCTCCAAATGGGAAATGAAATGCATGTACCTCAGGCCTCCAACGTTCCATCAATGCAGTGATGAGGCCATGATCTAATTTAATGGGATGAACTCGGTGGACCCCATAAAATCCAGCTCTACGTAGATTCTCAATAACCCTTGGGTCTGTAAAATTTGTAGGGATATGACCATCATACCGACACGGTTCTACTTTTGCATCAATATATGTCGGGTCATTCCAAACACGGAGAGAACGATGAGCCGCTTGTAAATTTAATATTTCTAAACTTTTTGGTCCAGCGAGATCTCTTTGCACTTCATCCATCACACTAATACATATAAAATAAGTTATTTGTTACATACAACTTCTGTCACTTTTTTCTACTTTATCATATTCTCACTTATTTTCACTTTTTGAAATCATTTAATTTATAAATTGGTATATTAATAAGAAATAAAAATTTCTAATTAAAAAACTACGTCAAAAGTTCTAAAAGACAAGAGGTGACAATAATCTTTTATTATATCAAATACTTAATGAATTGCATAATTAAACTTAAGTTATCGAAAAAAAATTGTAATAGAAAAGGGAATGGAGGGACTTTTAAATAATTAAATAGCTAATGAAACAAAAAAAGATAAGTAAAACACTACATACCTTCCAAAAGAAGATCTTCTTTTACTCTTTTGGATTCTTAAATCTTGTAATCTAAAATATATTTTTTTTGGCTATATTATCATATAATATGATAGTTGTAGAAGAAGAAGATGAAAAAAAAACTTCTAACTTTGCTATTTAAGGATGGATTCATACGGATAGATATATGGAGTAAGTATTATAATGCATTAAAAAAGCATTCTCACATGCCTAAAGTTGGAATCTTACCTGCAAAAGTGAAAAACTTTTTCAGAAAAATTGGGATGTTGAATCCCGTTTTTTGTAGGCCCTATTTAAAAAAAAAATTCGGGATATTGAATCCCAATCTTCCCTCTCATGAATATAATCCTACATTCAGGAATTTATTCCCAAACTTTTTCCTCCTGCGGGAAACTACCCAAGAAGTCAAGAAAGCATATGATTGGATCTAAGGAGTGAATCTAAGGTGTATTGGGCTGACTGGGTGTGGAATAAGTTTACCCCTCCCTAAGTCCAATTTATCTTTTGGTTGGTGGTACATGATAGACTCCTTACAAAAGAAAGGATGAGGAAATAGTTTGAGATTCATACTAAGTGTAGCTTGTGTGGGGGTTTTCAAGAGGATAGTGTTGACTTGTTCATCCCACATCCGCTATGCAGCCTTATATTGTGCTGCTATTTAATAGCTTGGGTACCTCAACCTCTTGAGTTAACTTTTGGGGTTGAATTGGGCTCAAGTCCATTATTTCAACATGGTATCAGAGCTAAGGCATTGATGTTGAGACCGCGCCCGCAGTAATCTGCGCCTCGTGTGAGGGGGGCGTGTTGACTTGTTCATCCCACATCGGCTATGCAGCCTTATATTGTGCTGTTATTTAATAGCTTGGGTACCTCAACCTCTTGAGTTAACTTTTGGTGTTGAATTGGGCCCAAGTCTATTATTTCAACAGATAGTAAGCATTTGTTTACTATCAGAAGAATGGAGTTTGGAGTTTGGAGAGTCAGAAACAACATGATCTATCACAAGAATGGAAGTATACAACAAACTATTGAGCATGTAAAGTTTAACTTTGATAGCTTTGTTATGTACTAGAGTCATGGACATTAGTTTGGCTAGCATGTCTTCGTAGGCGGAGGTGGGTGGTTTGTATTACTTCATTTTCAATACTCTTTCCGTCCCAAAAAGATTTACACGTTTCAAATAAAATTGCGTTCCACAATCCCTTACACATTTCTATTTAAAAACCACTTTTACCCCTTACTTTTTCAAACCCTACCTATCACATCATACCTTTTTCCTAATAATCTACACATCACATTCTACTTTTACCCATCACATCAAGGATATTTTTGGAAAGTCAACAAAAATTATCACTCTTTAATTTCAACTTTAGTCAAAATGGGTAACACTTTATGGGACGGAGGGAGTATTATTTATGATAATATAAGTGCATTTATTTTAAATCCAAATTTCTTGTGAATTTTAGTGATGTTTTATAGAAAGGTGAAACCTTACCTATCAGCTTTAAGCTTTTAGATTAGAACAGTGGATCCCGACTTTATGTGCAAGTTGATTACTTTTCTACGACACTCTATCCGTTGTTCTCGACCGCCAGGTCGAATTTTGCTAAAAGTCAATAATGTTTTTCAAAAAAAAAAGAAAGAAAAAACTCCATTGTAATTCATGCCAATGATATGACGCATGCAAATACATCAATGTTGTGTGAAAGAAAGCAGCATGAACCGTACGTCGTCTTGCACCAGACTTTTAGCTTCGAGATTTAAAATACTGATCAATTTGTATCATCAGAGAATATAGTAATTAACTGTGATGCAAGTGGACATGCACTTACACAGCACTAGGCATGCAAAATGGATATGATGCATAGTACTCTGTATATATATATAACAACCATGCTACTCTAAATTGTACCCTAAAAAATACATCGACATCTTAACGATTTACACTGATAGAAAATATTAGTTCAATTAAAAAACATTGCATTGACATTTTTTTCCAATATAAATTATCACACTAGTATTACACTAGCACAAATGTCGATGCATGCCTTTTGAGTACAAAATGAGATACAAATTTTTTATGTACAAATAGCTTAATCCGATATACAAATTAAAGATAGCATGATAGCTCCCTTTTTTAGGATCGTCATGTATACTTGCACACTAGATTTGTGTGTACAATTTTGTATCCTAACACATTGTTTGGTTGCTGAGATAATATAGAAAAAACAAATGTTAGTGAGAAAATACAAAGAGTAAATTTCATAATTGGTTGAGATTTTTTAGTTAGTCATATACTCCGTATTATCAAATATTAATTTATGGTCCTTCTTTTATGTGTATTTTTTCATAAATAATCATTTTTTAATCTTTTGTGAGGTTGATATTAATTTAAGGGTTAAAAATGTAATTTGACATTAACCTTATGTTTGGTGGCGTATTATGATATCTGTTAGACGGATAACACAACAATACTAACTATGACGGTGGATTAGGATTCCAATGAAAAACCACATCAATAGATTATGATTATAGTAGAGAGCGACTGTTGTTTATAAACGATGCATCAGAAGCGGCCTCTTGAATTGTCTATGACAAGAAAGATATATAATCATTGTGAAATTACACTTTTAGCATTTTAATTAACATCAGCATGACAAAAAAATTATAAAAAGAACTATTTGTGAAAAGATACTCATAAAAGAAGGATCACTGGGTAATATTTAATAATAGATGACTAAATAAGAAAAATCTCCTGTTATAAAGGACTAATTATGAAATTTACTCAAAATAGAAAAACTAATCATGCAAATTTTTTGAATATGTGAGAAAATAGAGGGAGAAGAGAAAATAAAGAATGAGGTCATGTGAAAAGTTTTCTCACCCTATATGATGAGGAAATGGATGAAAGAATATTCCTTCATTTTTCATAATCTTTTCATTTTTTCTCTCCATTTTTTTACTACCTCTGTTTGGAAAAGCATTTTCTCTTAAATTTTTTTTCTTCTACCAAAACACTTACACTTTCGCCTTTTTTCAACTCTCCATCCATATTTCATTAAGGGTATTATGGTTTACTTTCACCTTTTTTCAACTCTCCTTAAAAACCGCCAAAAGTCAAAATGAGAACATTTTAGGGGGACGGAAGGAGTATTTTATTAAATTTTTTGACATAAAAATTGAAAGTGGTAGCTGGGAATCAAACCCTGAACCTCCCACATATACTAATGCAAGTTGTCAACCAAGTGAGCTACTCAATCTTTGTTCAAATACTAGGTATCAATCATATCTATTTATGGTTTTATAAAAGGTTCATACAAAATAAATATGTAGTTTTTTGTACAAGTGTGAATTTGTATTTATGAACTTTTAAAATAGTTTTAAAAATTGAGAATAATTTAATTTTTATTTGAAAATAAATACACTCTGAATATTTTATATATAAAAAATTGTTGTCTTTAAAAATTAAGTAATATTATTAGTTATAATTTAATATGCTATATTTTTTATTTTTCAATCATTTTAATCAACTAAATATTAAGTTTAAAATTTCATATGTATATAAGAATAAAATATATAGTCTTTAATTTTTGAAAATATGAGTATCACCTTATTATTTAAGTATTTGTTAGAGATTCAATATTAACTTTTCATAATAATAAAAACAATAAAATAAAAATTGAAGGTGTGAAATATCATATGTACAAGGATATTAAAAAAGAGATGGAGAAATAATAACATAAATTAAAATATTTTATTAATTAAAAATATCTAATATATCATAAAATATTATTATAATAAACATAGTTGACCGGGTCGTTGACCCCCGGTTCGACCGGTCAACCCTTGACCCACTACCTCGTCCGAGTCGACGTCCGGTCGGGTTTCCAAACATTGCCCATGTGGAGAGAAAACAGCAAGATTGATTTTTCACTATTTTCTCTTCTCCTTACCGTTTCTCTTCCAACCAAACAATAAGGCTTTATCCTGAGGGCACTGGATATATATACCCGTCACGCCCACCGGCGTTAAGCCGGTTTTCACGCCCAGGGGGCGTTAAACACTGTTGCAGTTCTCACATCGGAAAATAAAGATGAATATCACTTGCATATATTGAAGGGTGAAGCCCTACTTATCAGCTTAAGCTTTTGGGTTAGAATTGTGGATCTCGACTTTATATGCAAGTGGTTAATTTTACCCGACACTCTATCCGTTGTTCTCGGTCCGCCGGAATTTTTAACAAACACCGCCCCCCTGCGGCTTCATTCCGGCGTGACGCACCGTGCGTCATTCTTTTGACGCAGCCCCTTCCCCTCCTTAACAGCTAATTTAGCCGTTGAAACAAAAACAAAAATTGCCTATTTTACATGGACTAAAAACATATTTAACCCTAAGAAAGTTATTTTTTATTTTTTAATTTTCATTTTTACAATCTAGATGAACTAATACGTCGGGGTATATGAATATTCCAAATAGTGCATACAATATTGGAACCCATCATCGATATATATATATTTTTATTTTTTTCCAGTTTGAGGTTAAAATTTTATTGTTTACCTTTTGTTTCATTTATTATGGTTTTAGTTGTGTTTCTCATTTTTGTTATATCTATTTTTTTATTTTTATACAGTAAGATTAATCTCTAAGAAAATAAATCATGGAGGAAAAGGTCATTTTAACAATTTAAGGGAAAATTTCATATAAAAAATAAAAATTAAAGTTTATAAAAAATAAGCATTCCTTTCCTTTTATTGTGCAAAATAGGCAATCTTCGTTAACCAATTATTTCAGTAAAGGTGATTAATTATTATGCATCACCACGCAAGATGAGATTAAAATTTTAATTAAGAAAGAACAAATGTAAATGAAATTGTAGGATGGAAAAGAATAAAATAACGTACACATTAATATTTTTATTTTTCGTCATATATTAACTTTTATTATTAAAGGAGATTAAAAGATTATTTATGAAGATATTGACATTAGCATCGGCCATATCATTTTCGATTTCCTTTGGCTTTTAGGTGTATAAAAAAGTTATTCTCCCCCATGAAAAATCATATATTTTTCCCTTTTGAAGGTAGGCACAACTATTATGTTGTTAAAAACATTATTGATAATTCAATAGATTTATGTAATAGTACTTGATTGATAGTAACTTAGTTGTCTAATCACTCAGTACACGAAAAGATATTATCTATAAGACACGGGAATGAAGAAATTGTTATTCTAAGATTATCATTGACAACATCTGATGCAAGAATTATATTTAAGTTTCAAAGAAAATAATTACTAAGATTACCTCACATGTAATGATAATTAACCAGAGTTGGGACCAATCTCCAGAACACGTAAGATTATTAATACTAAAACCGGTATTTTATCATGGATAACTATCTATTGTAGTTTTAAAAGCAATAAATCTTAGTCTCTTGAAGATTCAAATACACAACGCAAAGAATGGCTCCACGAATTCTACCAGTAATGTAGTTTATGAAAAAGTTTTTTCAAAATTTATAATTCATTTAATATTCATGCTTTAAGATAAGAATAATGCTAGGGTGCCACCACATGGGTGCTACCATGGATGCACCCATGCTTCACACAGACAAACACAGATGATAATTGTCTGTGTCGCACAGACAATTATCGTATGTGTTTGTCTGCGTGAAGCATGGGTGCACCCATGGTAGCACCTATGTGGTGGCTGTAACGCCCCAAAATATACCCTAAAATTTATTAAATTAAATATTCAATTAAACAAAATTTGTTTTGATTAAAATAAATTATTGTTGGGCTTTAGGACAAAATAAAATATATATTGATATCCAATAAACATAATTGGGTTAAATCTCATAGAGATAAATCCAACATATTGACTTATTGTGTGATCTTGGTTGGGAACCTGAGTACAGACCCAAATTAAGAATAAATGAAGAAATTGTTTATAATGTGAACTTTGAAATGATTTATTGAAATAAATCATGGAAATAAATAATATGAATTAAATGTGAGAACCTTTTTGAATAAAGGTCAATTAAACCAATTTTGACTCTGTCAAAGTCAAACACCAAAAATATGATGTCGGAAAAAGTATAACAAATAAATGTAAAAATTATATCGTTGGATAGAGTTTAATTGCATGATCGCAACGGTGCAAACGGATTTCAATTCGGAAAAAGTTGGACCAAAAAGTATACCCCGACTGGGACCAAAATTAGTCCCAATCAGGGACTACATACCAAACGGCGCCCTGTTCAATTACGCCGATTCCAAAATACGAATCACCGCTCAATCACGGAAGCTGCAAACCTGTGTCTTCTTCTTCTTCACTGGCCTATTTAAGGAGAGCCAATTCTCCCATTTCTCCACCAAAATCTATAATTCTTCATCCTATTCTGTTGTTCTGAGAGAGGAGAATACACTGGTGCTGTCAGCTCTGTGAGAAGTCGCCGGAGCAGTGAGATAGAGTCGCCGGAAATTTCACTAGAAAATCTTCAAAACCTCCCTTACGCTTCGAGGTAAGCCCGTAGATATATCTAATGACTAGAATGTTCGTATAGATCGTTTCTATGTTCATAAACGGTCGTTTGGTTGTGTTTTGTGTTTGACATGCTTGAAGAACCAAGAATCATAAACCATGAAATTGATGTTAAAACTATGAATTAATGATTCCAAAATGATCTATGAACCTTGGAGAACATCTCTATATAGTTTCGTTGAAGTTTGGTGACTAAAAGTGGTATTTCCGAAAAATGGACCGAAGGTTGAAGAAGATGAACAGTGGCTGAAAAACCACTGTCTGGATCGATCATCTTGCCTGGATCGATCCTCTAGGAGTTTTTCTTCTAGTTTGGATCGATCCAGAGGGCTGGATCGATCCCCCGAAAATCTAATCCGAAAATTTGTCTGAAAATGCTATTTTTGAGCTCTAAAATTCTATTTTTGATACCAATTGATTATGATCATTATAAAAATGATTTACCACAATAAAAATGATGTTTTTGAAAAATAAAATGTTATGTGATGCATGACGGTAAGTTCGGGTGTTAACACTCGAAGCTAGGCCGCTATTTGCTATCGAATGTTATGTTGATTGATGATTATGATGAATGATTGTTATGATGATTATGGCTTGAGGAAACCACTGATTAAATGATTATCAAGGATTAAATTATGAATTGAAATGAATATGTTGATGATTATGAAATGATTTGGATTGTAAGGATATCTAGAAGAACTCTAAGATATACCTAGGTTGACTTTGGTTTCTAAGACTATCTAGAAGACCTCTAAGATAGCTTAGAAATAGGCCTTGCGGGTATAATCATGAGTATTCGGTGGCCTGGGTTAAAACGTACGTACGGGATCTACAAACCAAACTTGAGGCACTCGTTTGGGGATACCACCCAACCCGACAGTGAGCATTTCGGATCCGCTGTTCGGTTTTTGGATGACCTTAATCGAAGGTAAGTTTAAGATTTTGAAAACCTCTTTTGAAAATTTATATCTTAAACTAGGCCTAGCTTAAGGGTTAGATAAGAGTACCTTAAACTTGAATATAGTTTAACTATGTTAGACTATAATTCGTTTAAGAGTTGGTAAACATCAAATAGATTGGCCTTAGACTAAGAATAGTTTAAGGATATTGTTGAATGACAAATGATGAATATTGTATGATGTATGTTGAATAAAAATGTTGAATATAAATGATGAATATACATGTTGAATGATTGAATGATGAATGTTGAAAATTGTATATTGATCATTGAATATCTGAACTGAACATTATGTGCATGATATCAAATGATTGATTATGAATTGAGATTCAATTTATGTGGATGTTCGACGCATTAGATATGCTTACTCAGCTTTACCGCTGAGCGTGTAGTGTGTTTTATTTGCTACACGCAGGTCAATAGAATGATGTGACGTGATCTTGGAGGCAGACGGAGGCGAGATAGTCGGAATGGATGTGATGGTTTTGAATTAAAGAATATAAATAAATTATGTTTGTGGTTATGATTTGTTAAGCTTCCGCAAAAATGGAAAACTCTGTACTGTTTATGATATGAAAAATATTATTATGATAAATAAAAGTGTTTGAAAAGTTTTAAATTTTACGATTACCAAGTTAATACTTTAGTCCGAAAGGGGCTGCAGACCTGGACGGATTAGGGTGTTACAGTAAGATAATGAAAAAGTTTATATTCTAGTATATAGTCTATTTCTATTTTTCAATAATAACACCAATATCACATGCATACGAGTCATGCAACACACAAGTGTGATACTAATATCTACTCTCTTCTTTCCTATTTTGATTAATATTTGACTTTCTCTATTCTCTCAATATTTTTTGTTTATTTGTGTGCCTTTATTAATTATTTGATAAAATAAAATATTCTAATCACTCCTTGTTTTATAAAATTTTACATTTAGTTTTTGAAAATATAGTTTTCAATTCTTATTATATGCTAATTTATAAATAAAATAATTTTAAAAATCATAGATTTTACTCGTACATCATAATTTCATTTTGTAATCAAAACAGAGAGGAGTTGAATGAGGATAGCCATCAAAATTTGTTTCGTATGATGTACAGTACTATTTGCGGAAAACACGGCGGAGTGGCATCGTGGATATAAGAACTCTGAGTGAGGGGTATTTCTGTAATGCTGGCTGTCCCCTCAGGAAACACTTCTATTTTTGCAGGCAGCATTCACAATTCATCACCCTCATTCTCTCTACCGTACCTTTCACCGAAAATTATGGGAGAGGTCCAAGCTCCGGCCGCCGCCGTCGCCTCCGCCGTGCCGTACTACCGGCACATCTCCCGCGATGAAGCAGAAGAAGAAGCAACCGACCTTCTTCCCGACGACGTCGATAGCACTTGCTCCACGCCTTACGTCAGCGCCCCGTCTAGCCCAGGCCGCGGCCCGCCGCACTGCGGCGGCGGATTCTACTACAGTGCTCCGGCCAGCCCCATGCACTTCGTACTCTCTACCGCCAACATGAGTTCCTCAACTTCCGTTCACTCCGATTCGGCCGCCGGTTCCTCCTCCTTCGAGTTCGACTTCTCCGCCCGTCTGGCGGCGGACGGCGACGCCTGCGCCGGATCCATGAGCTCCGCCGACGAGCTGTTCTTCAACGGCCAGATCCGGCCGATGAAGCTCTCCACCCACCTCCAGCGCCCCCAAATCCTCGCCCCGCTCCTAGATCTAGACGAATCCGAGGAGGCCGATTTAGATCGCGGCGATGAACGCCGGGGACGCGGTCCGAATTTCCGAAACAGATCTCTCCGCCGGAGAACCAGATCCATGTCCCCTCTCCGAACCGCCTCGTTCCAGTGGCACGAAGATTTCATCGACATTGAAGACGAACAATCCAAATCGAAAAACCCCGAACGAAAGGAGATTGAAATCGAAATCGAAATCAAGGAGAACAGGGACGAGTCCAACTCGAACTCGAACGAGACGACCCCGTGCGACTCGGCTTCGTCCTCGCGATCCTCCTCCATTGGCCGGAGCTCGAAGAGATGGGTTCTACTGAAGGAGTTTCTGTACCGGAGCAAGAGCGAAGGGAGGAAAGACACGCACAAATTCTGGGGAGCATTGGCGTTTTCCTCTCCAATAAAGGAGAAGAAAGCGGGATCTCCCCCCACGAAATCACCGGCGCCGCCGCCGCCGAGCAACGGGGAAACTCCGGACGTGAAGAAATCCAAGGCGAGGAAGAAGCCGGTGAACGGAAACTCGCGGAGAGTGCCTCCGTCGCCGCACGAGATGCATTACACGGCGAACCGGGCGCAGGCGGAGGAGATGAGGAGGAAGACGTATCTGCCATACCGGCAAGGCTTGCTGGGTTGCTTGGGGTTCAGCTCAAAGAGCTATGGCGCCATGAATGGGCTTGCCAAAGCATTGAACCCTGTTTCTTCAAGGTAAACCTGAAAACAATTTGTCTGTAAATCAAATCTTAAACATCACCAATGTTTCCAGCAGAATTACAATATTGTTAATGTAAAGAATTTGATTTTTTTCTTGGGTAATCATATGTTCATTTTGATGTTTCTTTGTTTTGGAACCTCGATTCGTTAGCCGATTCAACGGAATCCGAATTATATTCCCACCCCATAATTTATTTCCTAGTTTCCTTATTTCTCCATCAATAATTTTCCTTTTTTAGAAATTATCCTAAACAGTATTAAAATACTTTTTGAAAAGTCTCAAAATAAGACTTTCATATTTATTTCGAAATAATGCTTTGCATTGTAGTAATGTGTCATTGTACATGTGCATCTTACTATAGTTTTTTGGTAGTGTACATGAACAATGTTTGGTAATGTAAGTCTTATTTCGGAAATAAAAACATAAAAATCTTATTTTTGTATATTTTTAATGTTTTATTCTTATTTTGGTCTTTTTCTCCTCCTTTTTGCCAAATATTTTTTTCTTTAGTCCACATTGCTACCCTCTGTTTGTTTATCCTTACCATAGATACTTTTACTATGGATATTTTTTTTACTTTTTGCAATGACCCAAAGATATGGATGTAAGGTCAAAATATTTTTTCCTTTTTTTAAAGTCAAATGTATAAAATTGTATTATTCCTATATTGAAAATGTATGAAATTGTATTATTCCTGTTGGAAAATGCTAAACTTCTCCCAAATGGTTACCAAGAATGTACAGACATGTATTCAAACTTTACATAAATAATTATCTTCTGTGTTATGTATGCGATTATTAGATCACCACATGGATAGATTTTTGGCTTTTTACTCTCTCATCTCCAAAAAAATGTCTTATGTGTTTAATTATTTGATAAAATAAAATATTTTTTAAATTTTTACTTTGAAGAATTTTTTATGTAGTCTTTTTAAATATATAAATTTTATTTTTTATTTTTATATTAATCTTTATATAAAAAAATTTAAAAAATTACTCCCTTTGTCCCTAGATATTTGCCATATTTGTATTCCCGAGACAAAATATCAAACTTTTTTAATTTATTTTATTTACATATTGGTATAGAAATAAAAAATAAAAATTACATATCAAAAAATTACATGAAAAAGTTTTCGAGATAATAGGCGTGAAGAATATTTTATTTTATCAAATAACAAATGAAAATGTAGAAATAAATAAAAGTTTTCGTGACTGCTGAAAAAGCTAACGTTGCAAATAATTTGGGATGGAGGGAGTAAAATTTTGTTTCTTATTACTCCCTTCGTCCTGAAGTATTCGTCCAATTTTGACTTTTGGAACCGTTTATCTAAGTATTTTGACTCATCAAAGTCTGTTAATGTGTAAGCTTAAATATAATCATGTGTGATCTTGTTTGATTTGCATTAACATATAGATTATTAATATATAATTTCTATAATTTTTTAATCAATAAATTACAACATAAAATGGAATAAAAAAGTGCATTGGATTATTTGAATGGTGTGTAAAAATAAAAGTGGACAAATACTCTAGAACTTTTGGATAAAGGGGTAATTTTTATTAATGATGGGAAATGGATTAGCAGCCGAACATTGTACACAACTAAGCACACGCCTACACATGGATGACATGCATAATATAAATGCCATTTGATTCTCTATTTCTCTTTTTTACTCCGTGTATCATGGACCTTAGATTTGTATAGGAGAGTACATAAAAATAAAAGGATAAACTAGAGAAAAGAGTTTTTCTTTAGTACATCTTGTGTACATATTAATTTTATAGACACTCACATAAAATAAATTTATTTATTTAGAATACGAAAGCTTAGTTATTTTTTAATTTATTTTGGTCATATGTAAGTCTATAATAAATTTTAAATCCATCATAAAATTTACCTAGAGGAATTTAAGTGACGAAAACAAGGGATTTTCTTTGACACCTTTGTAATTGAGAGGGCATCTATAATTTCATACCATTCCATTCATGTAGTAATATTTGTACTTCTAATGTCACCTAATAATACACAAGTTTAATTAAGAAATTCTCTTTATTTTTTAACAATTTCAAAATGTAAAATTTGCACTAAATAGGACTAAAACATAATGACTTTCCCAATGTAAGATTTAAACTTTTTTATTCTCTAAATAGGATTTAATAATGACCTAGTGGGAGGAATAATGTCTAGTAATGATGGACATTTACTTGAATAATGACTACTTGATAATGACCAAAAGTTCTAAATTTAGAAATAAAAACATATGATCCTATGTTGGGAAAGTCATTATGTTTTAGTCCTATTTAGGTAAATTTCTCTTTCAAAATAACCTAGCCTCTATCTCATTCCAAGTTTAAGTTAACTTGTTTTATTTTTGTCTAATTATTATACTCCGTACAACATTATTCTCTATTATTATTTTAATTATTTAATTACTTCTCATTATTAATTATTTTACTTTTCACAGATAATTATTTTTTATTTAGTTGTTATTTTTAAATATTAGTAAATTACATCATTATTTTAATTTGCATAGATAATTGTTATTTACTTTTCCCAATCTCATTATTATACGAAGTATTTATTATTATTTTATTTAACTTTTTCCCATTGAAAAAAACTACTCCCTCCATCCCATTTTAATTTGCTTGTTTGCCTTTTTTTTACGTCTCAAAATAAATTGCTGTTAGTTGTTTTCGTAAACTTTTAAAAATAAAATACTTAAACCACCCTTAAAATAAGTCACTCTTTTTTACCTTATCTTCTCATTCATCATCACTCCTCTTAAAAAGTAATGTCAATTTCGAAAAATCAACTCTATTTTTTATTTTCCTTAAATATGCCCAAAAGTCAAAACGGACGATTTAAATTGGGACGGAGGGAGTGGATAAAATTGAAAAAAGTTGACAAAGTTTGAAGAAAGTGAGCTCAAAAAATTTTGAAAATGTTGAAAACAAAGAAAAAAATGAAAAAAAATAAATAATCAGAAAGAGTATCATTGTCCCGACCCGAAGAGAGTATGCACTTAAAATTGACATTACTACTTAATCTATACTATACTTAAAGCGAGGGGAATTTTTTCCCGCCCAGACGTGATGCTTATATATGGAAACTGTTTAGTACTTTAAAAATCTTGCCTCAATACATGTGAAGCATATATTGATACTATTGAATGCTATGTTTCGTGTGACTCCTTACATGGTAAGTATTACTTGTCATTTTTGGTTTAATTTCTATTAATTACTAATTACGTAATATGTTTCCATTTTAATTTAATCAATGGTAAGTGTTGCAGTGCCATTCTTGGTTTCTATAAAAAAAATTAACAATAATAATTGCTAACCTAAGCAAACAATTTTATAATAATAAAAATAATAATAATAATAATAATATTATTATTATTATTATTATTATTATTATTATATAATAAATTTTCAAAATATTGTAAACTAAAAGGAATTGATTAGTTATACCTACAAAGTAATATGTCCTCTAATTTTGTAAACTAAATTTCCGTGAACCTAACTACACAGTTAAATGCGATGAATTTATTAGTCATGAACAACTCTATGTTGTAGTTTCAAGAGTAACTAATTATAGTGGGTTGAAGATTATGATATGCAATGAATACAATATTACCACAAATTGTACAAATAATGTAGTCTATAAAGAAGTCTTTTGAAATTTGTAAAACAGTGATGTTTTATACCTTAAAATAATATAATCATTGTATTCTATTGCATCTTTTTTTATTAAAAAATAACTTAAATTTAATAACATAAAAATGACCCGTGCAGCGCACGGGTGTGATACTAGTTGTGAAGATAGTAAATGATTCAGCAATTATCGAGGGAAAAAAAGTAAAAATGGAATTGAAAATTTGTATAGATTCTCAATAAATTAAATACCACCCCGTAGATGTTTATCTTAACATTTTGAAAATGTCTTTTAAGAAAATTCATGTATAATTAAGTAGCATTTTAATAGTAAGAATTTATGTTTCTTAATGCCCTAATCCTTTTTTTATTGATGAAAAAACTAGATTTACAAACAAAAAAATAAAATACACAATCTTATTATTTGTGCACTCTATCAAGAGAAAAAGTTGAAATTAAAAAGAAACTAAAATACACAAAAGTTAAATTTATTTTGTAAATATAATGTTTGTAATGGTAGTATTTTCCTTATTTATGTGCTGTGGATGCTCTTGTAGAACACCTACTAATCCTAAGTCCCAAAAAATTCTTAATTAGATTTGGCACAAAATTTAAGAAAAAATTAAAAATATATAATTGAAAGTGATGCAGAAAAGAGAGAAATTTAGTAAACCATAACAAATTTTCGTTAAAAAAAAAGATTTTTTTAGGACAATCCAAGAATAAAAGTAACACTTTTTTTGGGGAGGGAGAATGTATAATATTCATACCTAATTCAATCAATTCTTCTTCTTCATACTGGGTAAATCTCAACTGCTACCATATACGATCTCACTATCTTAGTTCGTACCATAAATCTCAACTACTACTCTTTCAATTCATCCCTACCTTTACATTTTAATGTTTTTCTCTACAACTATGCTACCCTTACCAACTTACACCAAAAATTGTACCTCATTTATACACCACAATTATGCATAAACATTTTGATGGTTTACACCGACATAAGTCTTTGTGTGTTAACAAAAATTTACACGAACATAAAATGTTGGTGGGTTAACAAAAATTAGTTTTACACCAACACAAAATGTCGATACTAATCTGAATGGTACAAAGTGAAGTACAAAAACTTGGAGAACAAATAGCTTAATCCTTTTCCTATATGCATTACTATAATGTTTCTTTCGTCATAATTTTGATTACAATCTTATTTTCTCAATCTTCTTAATAATTTTTATTTATTTATATGTATTCATTGACTATTGGATAAAATAAAATATTATTTTTATCTTTTATTTTGTAAAACTAATGACATAGTTTTTTAATATATAGTTTTTATTTTTTATTAATGTAACAATTAGTAAATCAAACGATTTTAAAAGATATGAGTTTTACCTTGTATTTGTAAGTTCTATTTTGTAATCAAATTTAGGACGGATGAAGTATAAATTATAGCAACCATATGCGAGTAGGGTCTGAAGAAGGTGTCTGTACCAAAAGTAGAGATGCTCTTTCCATGAGATATAATATTAATTATTCTTTTAAAGAAAATAATTCAATTCATACAATTTAATTTGTAAAGGCTAAAGCTCATTTTTTATTCTCGAGGTCGGCCCTAATCTTTTGTCATCTAATGGATGGTTATACTACTACCTCCGTTCCTAAATATTTGTC